TACTACTACTACTACTACTACTACTACTACTACTACTACTACTACTACTACTACTACTACTACTACTACTACTACTACTACTACTACTACTACTAATAATAATAATAATAATAAACAGCAAATAATTAATAATTTCATTTACATTGCTCATATCCACGCTCTATGGCATGCTTTATGGGTTTAAAACTATCAATCACCATCACCATCACCATCTTCATCTTACACTATCCAATTTGATTCGAAATGATCTAAAGTGTATCGGTTCAGACATAAAGCAATAGCTCATGAAAAATTAACATCCTCTTTTCACTCTTCGTTAACAGAATAAAGTTTTTGTTATTCTGAAGAAAAAAATACCAGTCGTTCTTTCAGTATGTGGTTACATTTTTTGTTGTTGCAATTTTCGGCGAAGGAGAACAGCGACCGTGATAAGCACCTACTGTTGGATAAGGTACATGTACTTTTTTCTCGGAGGTGAAAATCGCTATAAACAAATCTGAAAATATTTCAGAAGTTTAATATAATATAGGTTTTGAAAAAAAATCTAAATTATAATACCTTTATCATTACATCTGAATGCAAGTGCACCAGAGAAATGAAAAGGAGAATTCCAATTGCCAAAGATAGTTTCAATAAAAAGGAGCCCAATCCATGATGCTTATGATGATGATGATGATGATGATGCTTATGATGATGACGAGCTCAGGCCATTAAACTCGATCTAAAAGCTTTGCGTAAGTAGATGTTCAAAAACTGTAAAGAAGGGATGACATATCATGGACTACGTTAGCGAGTATTTTGAGTAGTTAAGAGGCAGCAATTTGTCAAGGAGAAATGGCTGGCACAGTACAATAAACAGCACTTCGTAAAGGTCAATAGTCAAGATTGCGGACACTTCAAAGCCATACATCCGAGATCACTGGATATCTTTGGCTTCTTTTTACATTTTTTTTTTCACTTCGACGTAAGTACTCGAGATGTGTAGCTCTTTAAGGATTTCAATTTTTTAAAGAGTATAATGTTGTTTATTTCATGAGTTAAAATAAGATCGTTGCCTCTAATTTTCTTTTATTCCATGAACAGAATTATGCGTTTTTACACACCCGCCCCCCCTTTTTTTCCCCAACTATCATCTTTCACTTTTTTAAAGGGTCCCGTAGGAAAAGAATACAAATTGAAAGCTCAAATTGCCCTGCTTCTGTTTTCCTTAAATTGATGTTCTGATTTTAAAAATGGAGGCTGGGTGATAGAACATTTGTTGACGACAACTTCAATCAAAAACAACATTTAACGACAATAACTACAAAAATAACAACAACAACAGCAACAACAACAGCAACAACAACAGCAACAACAACATCAACATCAACATAACAAAAATAACAAGTTTTTTTTCGTCTGTACCTCCGATGACAGCAACCACAACCATAATCACAACAACTACTACTACTACTACTACTACTACTACTACTACTACTACTACTACTACTACAAAAACAACGACACAATCAACAATAAACAGTAAAAACAACCAAACAGCAACAGTTGCAGCGCACCAACATCCACAGAATCGACAACAAAACAAAGACAGCATCAGTTAGAACAATGACAAAAACCTCTTGCGCAAGTAAAAGGCTCAACTAATTAAACCTGATATTTTCTACAATACTCCCAGCGCCCCTCCTTCAATAACAATGGCAATACATGTATTAATACGGTCCAACACAGATATTTATTGAACTAACAGAGGTTCCAACGAGCACCCCCAGGGATTTATGCACCATTTAGTTTCGACCCCCAGCCTCTACTGTCTCAGCGGGGTAGAGTTCATTGACTTATAAAGAGGAAAACGTCGCTGCAGAGCCAGAGTGAAGCTAAAATGTTTGTGGCCACGAAAATTCTGTTTTGAAAGACCAGCATAAAATAGTAAAAGGAAAATTCGAATCATGTTCAGGTGGTATTTAATGTTTTTTGCAGGTTCCTTGGTGTTGCTTTTAAAAATGTTTTGTTGGTTTTTTTGGCACATATTTATATATATATATATATATATATATATATATATATATAATAATAACTATACTATATGCATATAAAACTATACTATATGCAGAGTTCCGCGCAATTTACCAATCGGTGCAATCTTAAGATTGCGCTGCACTTTTTAACGATCGTATAATTGCGCGGCCATCTTAAGATTGCGTTAATATTTTAAATGTTAAAAATATTTTTTTTTCTAAATTCACTTCCATCTTTATTCTTTTACTCACATCTAGGAACATTTACGTATGTTTTCAAAAGTGTGAACATATGAACATTAAAATTAAGATATGAAACTGAAGAGCTCACAAAAAGGATACAATTACATGTCGTTAAAACGCGCAACGCAATCTCAAGATTGCCGCGCAATTATACGATCGTTAAACTGCGCCAATCAGTAAATTGTGCGGGAACATAATAATAATATATAATCATTATAATAATAGCTTTACAAATGGCCTTTGCAAACAATAATAACGGATAGTTGGAGGGCGCCACTGGCCACTGGTATGTCCTACATCTTTACTTTCCCTCTGTTGTTTCTGTCTGTGAGTCTTACTTATTCTCAGCACTTAACAGCCATTTTTGTGGCAACGTGCTTCTCTTTTTTACTCAAACAAACAAAACAGCTGTATTCTGTTCGCTATTTTTGTTTGGTCACTTTTAAAACTTTATTATTTTTAGTTTGTTTCTTTGTTGTTGTTTTTTTTTTTGTGTGTGTTTATGGGGAATTTTTCGTTTGTTTGGTTTTTTTCCTTTACATATTTAGGGATTAGGTATGAGTATGAGCTTCAAGCTATTGACCGTTGAACCAGTGTAGGTCTTTTAGCTATGGTGGAAAGGTACAACTATTGATTTTTGACTAGGCCTATTTAATTTTCTTTGTGAATTCTTGAGAGGAGCTCAAGATTAATTTATCAAGTTAAAAGTAAATATATATCTGACAGTACAACTATCGTAAAGTTTGTTAGTGCGTGATGAATCATGAAGGGGAAAAAAGATATAATCTGGATTTTCAGTCTGAACACAATGTCCTGTTTTTGTGTTGCTCCTCGTATTTTTGTAAAGCGCTGCGAGTTTGTTCTTTAATTGGCGTTAAGCGCTCTAATATAAATGTTCATATTATGCAGTTTTTAAGTAACAGTAGTAGTAATAGTAGTAGTAGTAGTAGTAGTAGTAGTAGTAGTAGTAGTAGTAGTAGTAGTAGTTGTTGTTGTTGTTGTTGTTGTTGTTGTTATTGTTGTTGTTGTTGTTGTTATTATTGTTGTTGTTGTTGTTGTAGAAGTAGTATAGTAGCAGCAGCAGTAGCAGCAATACCATTATTCAGTATTTTGTTTATTCCTTCACAGATTCTGCACCACACCCATCCTGTTTCTAGTTATCTGTGACCTCTTGACAAAGGTCAGAGGTCATGGCTATCTCGCTGAGCCACCTGGAAGGTCTTCCATGTGGAGATTTGGATTTGCCACCGTCAGAAATTACCAGGACAACGAGCTGTTCTGTGGGGGGTTCCAGGTTAGTTCTCATCTTGTAACACCCTCCGACGGCTGTGGTTGAGTGGTTAGGCCTTTCGCCGTTGCAGGCAAAAGTCGCGAGTTCAGTTCCATCATGGGCAGAAAGAAGTGTGTTTTTTGGTTTGTTTGTTTATGTTTTTCTTTGTTTGATTGTTTGTTTGTTCGTTTGTTTATTTGTTTGTTTGATTGTTTGTTTGTTTGTTTATTTGTTTGTTTGATTGTTTGTTTGTTTGTTGTCCCTTTGGGACAATGCAGTTTTGTGTTATCTTAAATTCTAGTATCTCCATACATTTGTTGGACTGTGGTATCCCCTTCAACCCGAGTTCGCTTTGACAGACAGGGTGGTAGCACCCACCTCTTAAAAGATTTTAATTGTGCCGACGGAGGTGTGAAATCTTTATGGTAATGAAAATCGCTAAAGCGTTCTGCCTCTTATGACGGAGTACAAGCATCTATGTTGTAACGCTTAGACGCTTCGACGTCGCATGTAGAAGATATGGGGTCAATGTTCGTGTAGAGAGAATGTTTACCCAGTATCTCGGGATTTCTGCAGGAATGGTGTATACCTCTCATCCCGGGTTCGCTCTCACAGACAAGGTCTAAGGCCGCCTGTTAGATAATCTAAATAGTGTCGATGTGGGCATCAAAACTCCTACACTAAAATTAATCATCATCATCATCATCATCATCATCATCATCATCATCATCATCATCATCATCATCATCATCATCATCATCATCATCATCATCAATTGCCACATCTGCGGCAGACATCGGCGATCATGGTTCTCCATTTATTCCTTTTTGCTTGGATGCTCTTAAAAAAGCTACGTTTCCCTGATCTTTACCCGTTGCCCTTTTGTTTAGGTTCCTTAAGTAAGTTGCTCTGGGCCTACCCTTGCCTCGTTTGCCTTCAATCTTGCCAGTGAGAGATAGATGTTAAAGGCCTTTATGCCTATTCAGGTGTCCCCAACCTACATTTGCCGTTTCCTGGTTGTTTTAACACTTCAAGGGTTTTCTTCAAACTTTCACAGCACCAGCAGTCTTTGGGTGGCAAGTGTGGCGTGTGTGGAGACCCCTACGACGGAGAGCGCGAGAACGAGGCCGGGGGGAAGTACGCCACTGGGGAGATAGCCAGAGTGTACACACAGGTCAGTCAGACAAACGGCTTCACCATGATGCATAACAAGAGGCAATGTCTTAGTACATGCCATGAACGCGGTGTGGGTTCTAATCCTTTTTCAAAAGAGAAGATCACAAAGAAGCGCGTGCAGGCATCTCAATCAGTAACTGCAACGATCCACGTGTGGTGATGACAACGTTGTTGGGCCAGATGATAGTAGATACCTTAAGTGAATGCGACAAAAACTTTCTATAGTGAATAATAACGGGCCATGAGGAGAGGGCTCATTACCTGACCCCAACCCCCCCCCCCCCCAAAAAAAAAAAAAGTTTTTTTTTAAAATAAAAAAAATGAATTATTAATTAATTAATCAATTAATCAATCAATTAATTAATTAATAAATAGATAATAAAAAATGTCCCAAACAAAAACAAACAAATAAAAACATAAAACAAAACAAAGAGGAACTCAATAACATCTAAGTGCAGCCTTCGGCGCAAAAATTGATGGCAACGGCGCTATGGGGTACAAAAGGTTTTCTGCTAATAGACTTTCTACCATGAGGTCACACTGTCAATGTTGCCTGATACTGTAAAACATTCAACAAGCTTAGAGTGGGGGCACGACGAAGAGACCAGAGGGACTGAAGAGAGGTGTCACTATGCAACATAACAACGCCACTCAGCATACAGCAAACTAGACCAAACACTGGATTCAGAACTATGTTTGGGAGGTTTTGCCACATCCTCTACATTGTCCTGATCTGACCCCTTCTAGAGAGGTGAGCAGAGTAAGCCTTAATCGCCGTTTGGACTTCTCTGTTGACATCCATCCCTTGGCGCTCATATGACTGTATGCAGTTGCGAGCGCAGTAAAACCTTACTAAACTAAACTGACCCCTTCTGACTACCATCTCTTTGGACCCCTCAAGAGACACTAAACCAGCAAAACCTTTGACGAAAACGAATATTTAATCCTTGAAGTAAAAACTTGGTGGCCAAATATTGACGAAGATCTTTTCAGGAGCGAAATCCATCCTCTTACGCTTTATTGAAAGAAAAAAGATTTTGAAGGTTACTCCATTATGAAGCTCTATAATAATGACAATGACAATGACAATGACAATCTTTATTCATCTCGCAGGGAGAAATTTGTCTTGGTCGTTAACAATGGCAGTAGACGTTACAAAAGTTAGACTTAAAGGTGCACTCACGCAAACTCACAACAAGACAGGACATTAGACCAAGTAAATACATGTCTCACGGGCTGGGACAACCCGCTCCGTAAAACATTCATTCTCTCTCTCTCTCTCTCTCTCTCTCTCTCTCTCTCTCTCTCTCTCTCTCTTTCTTTCTTTCTCTCTCTCTCTTTCTCTCTCTCTTTCTCTCTCTTTTTCATTTGTAGCACTGTGTGTTCAGTAACCTCACTGCAGTTGGTACGAATGAATTTCTATATCTGTCTGTTCTTGCTTTTTTGGAAATGTATCGTTTACTGCGGGTCTATAGTTGAAATTCCGATGTCAGTGGGTGGCTATGGTCACTAAGCATTATTTCCGCCTTTTTTAGAGCGTTTGTCTTGTGCAGATATTCAAAGTTACTTTGGTCTCTACCAATTGTTCTTGATGCCTTTTTTATCAACTTATTTAGTTTTATAATGTGCTGCCTTCCCAGATTGCTACCATAGCAGGTGATTCCAAAAATTATCAAAGTTTCTATTGTGGTGGTGTAGAAAATCTGAAGGATGGATGGATTCAGATTGAAAGACTTTAGTTTCCTCAGAAAGTACAGCCTCTGATTTACCTTTTTAACGATATTGTTTACGTGGTTTTGCCATGTAAATTTATTGTCTATTGTAAGGCCAAGATATTTGTATGAATCCGTGATTTCAATAATTTCTTGTTCAATTACGAGTGGTGGGATTGTTGTGACATTTATGTAAGCATTTATGTGACATTTTATTTCGACCAAACATTTTTATAAAATATTGAATCTGTGGCCGTTTTTATTTTTACCTTACTTCCCGGACAACCTTTGTACTTCATGATTTCCATTCGTTTTTTGCTCACGTACTCACTCCACCACCGTCACTTTTTGTTGTTTTTTGTGTTGTTGTTTTTTAAATTTAATTTTTTTTTCTTTTTTTTCTTGGGGGTTGGGTGGAAGGGGGGGGGATTGCCCGCTTTCCTTTCTATTCAAATGTCTTAATGTCTTCGATCCATGACCTTTTCCTTTCAGGGGCAGGACATTCAAGTAGCAGTTCAAATCACAGCCAATCACATGGGCTGGTTTGAGTTCCGTCTGTGCCCCGTCAACGACGAGAATGTCAAGGCTACCCCGGAGTGTCTCGATAGGCACTTGCTGCAACTTGCAGACGGGTCAGGTGAGTACTTTCGAGTCAAGACCGGAGACTCGTTGCCTATTATAACATCCAAGACTTCGGCACTCTTGACGTTATTTCGATTCGCTATAGAGAGCACCATTTGACTCAGTTTTTTAAACCAATATTAATATGAAGTGCAAGTAGTAAGGAAAAGTTGCATGCACACTTGACTATAACAAGTCTTGTGTTTTTACCTTCATTGGCACGTCACAGGGCAGCTGTACAGCGAAGGTATTTTTAGAAAGAGTGGTTGCAATGACAGTTTCAAATCTAACATATCATTATTATTATTATTATTATTATCACTACTACTATTGTTATTGTTACTGTTATATTATTGTTATCGTTATTGTTACTATTGGTATTACTATTATGATTATTTTTATTAATATAATTATTATTATTATTATTATTATTATTATTATTATTATTATTATTATTATTTTTACTATTGCTATTACTATAACAATTAATTTTACAATTATTATTACTACTACTACTACAACTATTATTATTATTATTGTTATTATTATTATCATTATTATTATTATTATTATTATTATTATTATTATTATTATTATTACTATTATTACTATTGTCATTATCGTTATCATTATTATTATTATCATTGTTATTGTTATTGTTATCATTATTTTAACCTATGGTTTGAACGAACACTAGAGTAATGATATCCCTGACAGTGCACTGTCATGGCCGTCGCTCTTTGCGCTCCACAAAATCTTCCCTTAGAAGCCTGCGTACAAAGGGTGCCCAAATATTGAACAAAACACAAGTCTCACTATGGTCAAAAGGCCTAATGATTAGGTTCTCGGACTCGCAACCGTAAGGTTGAGGGTTTGAATCCCGTCAGAGGACCGACGTTGCGTCCTTGGGAAAGGCACTTTGCACGAACCTTCTTCACTTCATCCAGGCGGAAATGCATACTTGACTATTGAGAGTGAAAGATCTTGTCCTTTTGTTTGTGTTTGGGCACATGTAACCCATTGCTTCCACTGTATGCTTCCCAGGACGGCCAGAATGTTGCTGAGTGTTTTCAGAGTGTCTGCATGGGTAATATCAGTTGTAAAGCCCTTAAAGAGTGCTGTTGAGCATATATATTATGCACTATGTATATGCAATTATTATCATTATAAGTGCACCTGGCGCTGTTCACCCACTGCCCTTCAGTTGGCTCCAAATTGAGAGCCAAATGGCGCTGTTCATAGTGAACTGTAATCACGCCAGAGTGCACGCTTCAGGATAGTATAAGACAAGTCTTTGGTCAGAAAAGTAATTAACTATTATTCAAGAGATTAGATACGGAGTGAAGGTGGTGTGAAATAAGACATTCGTCCTTTCCCAGGTCCCAGGTACCAGCTGACAAGTGGCGTCAGCACCAAGTATTTGATGACGTACAAGCTACCAGCTGGCCTGACGTGCTCGCAGTGTGTACTGCAGTGGAAATATCACACAGGTGAGGAGGTCTGTAAATACAGTAGGATCTGTCTAAGATGGTCACCCATTATCCAAGAGAAAAGACGCAGTTTTAAAAAGGTGGACGTTTTACAGTGTCATTTTAATGTTACACGGAGTGCCCTTTTGGGGGGGGGGGTCGACAAACCGATCGCCTGCCGATCGCCTGACTCGTCGCCTGAAAACTTCTGGTGACGAGTCGGGCATTCAGTTTGTGCCATGACAGCCGCTTTGGGACATCAATCTGGCCTGCCAAAGGAACAGAATCGGACCGATGGTGTCAATTGGCACTGGGTATTAAAAAATGCAAGGAGAGAAATGGTGTCCATTTCTATAAATGGTAGTCTGTAGTGATTCTTAGCGACAAGATGCTGCCGAGTTTATCTGGACTAGAAAAAAAAATTAATTAAAACATGTTTAGTGTCAAAATTTAAAACACGGAGGTGCATTATATAAAAATATATAATAATTTTTTAATACTTTTTTTAAATGGATGGTCTATTTATTATTATTTCAGTATGATACACCTCTGATGGCGATGCATAAAGCACGAATAACGATTTCTTTAGATTTTGAAAGATATATTGGAAAGTAATTAATTCCGAGAGAAAAATCAACAAGAACAATGACATACCATAACACGGAATGACAAGTGCGTCAAGCGTTTCGACATTCGGTTCCACTGCGCTATCATGGAATTACAAAGTTCTGCCTGACATTTCGGGTCGTTTTGAGTTACTAAGACCACGAAGTCGAAAACCAAATGTTCTATCTACTCTGTCAAAATCGTAAGATTATTCCGAGTCGTTATCAAGATATTCAAAGGAATGCATTCGACAAAAGCTTGACATTATGTTATGAAACCCAAAATACATTTTTACGTAAATTTGCTCGAAACTAAGTACTGAGCAGATATAGTTTAGTAATTCTTGAGTAATGATTTGCACACCACTTTAACGAAACATACTTCGTTTGCCAATTTCTAAATTCATTCGATCCTAGGCAACAGCTGGGGCACAGATCCTGATGGTACCTCCTGCGTGGGCTGTGGGCCACAGGAAGAATTCTACGGCTGTGCAGACATTGCCATATGCGAAACTGGACCAGTCCCAGTGACTACAACACCAGCGAATCAAGTAAGGATGGGTTTTTTTTTAAAATCTTTCTTAAACATTTTTAGTATAACCTATTGCTCGCTTTTCATGTGCACCCCCCCCCCCATCCCACGCCTCCCCGCTTTGTTCTCGTGCTATAAATATCATTTTTTAAAAAAAAATCTTTCTTTCTCACACATTT